ATAAACATCCCCTTTACCTTCACTTCCCTCCTCAAATAAGCCCTTGACCAAAATCATCAGTACTCAGTAGCTGCCTCATTCAGAAACAACTGCAAATACAGTGTCCTACCTTTTCTTCTCCTGTTCCCAAATATCAGTGGCAAAAGAGAAAAGTTAGTAGCGGAAGCATCCCGGCAGAGCAGCTAGGACACTGTCAAATGTGCTCCTGCAAAACAAGAACTTGACTGGTATCCTTAACCAGGAAGTGTCAAAGGGTACCAAAACACAGAGTTTAAAACTGAACTGCTAATTCAAATTACTAAAAATAACATCCCAAACTGTGGTTTGGGTTGCAAAGAGATCACCTCTATCCTAAGATAAGAGAGTTATGAGGTATTGTAACCGTTCACCTGAGTATTTCCCAATTAAGGGCCCAAGATCTGTAAGTAATTTTTTTCCTTTACATATGCTTTTGTTGTTTTTACACTTCATACAGCTCTTGGGTTTATTACTTCAATAAGACCTGTTCACCCATGTGTGCTGAGAATGCCTTAATGCTCTGTGAATCACAGATAATACACAGCTCTACACCTTATTTGGTGTAAAAGGAGGGAAATTGCTTGAGAAGAACGTTAGCAAGAAGCTGGTTTGTTGTAAGTACAGACATTTATCAGTTATTAGTCATTAGTCGAAACTGATAATGATGGGCAGTCAAGCATAGTGCTTCTCATCTTTGTTTTCAATGACGATAAAGTGCTGGCTGCTGCCAAACAGTGCCTCAAAATGGAGAAAGGTACTTAAACTTGCTTCAGACTAGCAACTGGGCGCTTGCCAATTTTTTACATGAACAGTCATAAGCATGTTCCTGCACAGCAGGATGTGATCAAACTATTCAAAGCTGTAAAACCAGGTTTGCTTGCCAGTTATGTTATTGCTTCAAGATTAGTGTATTACAGATGATACTTTGCCAGCCATGAAACCACTGTTTTTCCTTAATGACAAATTCTACACCTTTAATATTTAAAGCTCTGTATAGAACTTTATAGTTTATAGAACTTTAATTGTTCAAAATTAAAAAAAATATTTATAGAATGAAAGCTAGGACTGAAAACATATGAAACATACGATCTCCTGAACTATAAGTCATCCCTCAGTTAGCTTTAAAAAAATCACTTCCTCCAAGCTGTATCAACTAAAAGGTCCCCTTTCTTCTCTAAACCAGAAGAAAAGTAATTGTAATGACCTACTCAAGTCCTAAGCTTCACCTTCCAATGCTGTAATCACATTAACATTCCTGTCCGTAAGGTGTGATGTGGTTAATAGGTGGTTGCTAGTTGGAGACATTGCACTGTATTGCCTCCTGCTGGAAATCACTTTAAAGTATTTTATGAAGATCACACAATGCGACTATGCCACATGTAATCTTTACTAAATGTCTGTCACCAATTGGATTACTCAAGTAAGAAAGATTTTTGAGGAAAGGAAGAACTGTAGTATAACCAACTGGTCAAATACGTTTTTCCCTTGAATGGGTTAAGACAAAACCGAACATTACAGACAAGAAATTGCTGTTTTATTTCTCATGACAGTCAGCATCTTTCTCCATTTTCCTTTCAGAGGATCAGTCATAAAATAGACTCAAGTTCCCCAGCATAACACAATATCTGTTCACTAACAAACATATCTTAGCAAATACAACCAAACAGTTGAGTTTGTTTTTTTAAGGGGGCTGGTACAGGAGAAGATGGATGTCAATGTTTAGCCACGCTTTAGTTGTTTGTTTTTTATTCACTTGAAAATACATACTAAAAGTAGTATCAAATATTTGAGTTTATATCATTTTATTTGTTTTCACACATAAAAAAAGTAGTTTGCATATTTGCTCAGCAATCTAGTGAATGATCTAAGATTACATACACATGCACAGCTCAATACAGTGATAGAAGTGCCTCTATCTGCTTCCTAGTAAGAAGTAACATTTACGTTTGAAATCTCAAAAAATACACAGAGGTTCTTGAGTGTTATGGTTCAAAAAATATTTTCATGACCTTTCCAAGACAGGGACAGTTCTCTTCATTTTTTGAAGAACAGAAAAATTAATCAAGTAAAATTCAAATAGAAGAATCACAACTAGCTAACCATTGACAAGTATGCTGCAATAGCAGTCCAGTTAAATGCAACTTAATAGTATAACTACCGGAAAAAGTACTGCAAAACTGCATTTCAAAGACTAGTTGAAAGTAACCTGTATTTACTTGGTCATAGCAACTGCAGTTTATAGAATATCCATTCTCTAGGAATGTAACCTATTCCTTACCTGAAATCAAAGCAATGTGTGCGAGCTGTGAAGACTTGTGTTACTGTTTCTTACAGAGAAAAATCAGAAATCCTACAAGTAAAACCCCAAAAGCTAGATACTACTTATATTCGCCGTGCTCAATTGTCATATGCCAGGCTATTGTGAAGAAAACCATAAAGAAGGATAACAGATGCAACTTCATTAAACACAGTTGGCCCAAATGCTTATTATCACAGGCAGTTCTCTGTCATTTGGAACTGGTTATGGTGGTCGCTCAAATGACACTGCCATCTCCAGCACCACACAATAGCAAGCAGGAACAGAGCAACACAGTGTTCGCACAATGTGTCATGAAGCATTTAGCTTCCATTGCCCAGTGACCTCTGAACTTTAAAAATGCCTTTTCCAGGGGATAGCCACAGCACGCTAATGGTTTACTCCATTTCTGCTTTGTCTCAGCCTGTTCTCATCAATCCCCCCTCATATTTGATGCCACCTCCATCAAAAAGAAAAAGATTTTAACTTGCAGATGTTACGAATGCCTGAGGCGATCTCAGATCTAACTTCCAATAATTTGCATTTGTTATGCTAAGCATATACAACCCCTGAATTATATCTAGTCCCTTTGTGGTCTAATGTAGGAATCCCTCTCCTATTGTTCTTGCTGTTAGCACTGTAATAACTACCGCTATTGCAATGTTAACAAAAGACTACTAATAATTCAAGTACGGTATGAATTCCCAAGGAATCACCAAGTGAGAAATGCAGGTTGAAATGTTAGCTTCAATTCCACAGACCTATTTCCCAGATTCAAGAGTTACAGCCGTAAAGCATCACATATGTGAAAACACAACACACGATGAATAGAGTTCTATTAATAATAATTAAACAATGGTGTTATAAATTGCAAATTATATCACAATAGTACAGCTTAATACCAAATATTTAAATTTTCATTTGGCAGGGATTTATTATTTTATTCATTTTTTTTTTTTTCAGCTGCACTATCTACTTAACATTGTCTGTGATTTTTGCTGACAGGTCTAAAGATGGCTTTGCTAGTTGTGGCATTTGAGCCATTACTATATAAAATAATTATCTTTATTAATTTCCAAGCTGATTACTTGGAAAAGATTACTCCTTAAACCAGCAGCTTAAAAATAAATTCAATTAAAATGTATATTAAAATGCCCTACAACAAAATTCATCTGACATTCAAAAAAGTTTTATGGTTCAAGTATGCCTGAAAGTCCACTTCAACAAAGAAGCAAAAACTGACAAAACAAAAACAAAAATATCAAAAGATCCTTCTCTTTTGCTGAAAGCTTTTCTCTTATAAGCTGCTCACTTTTCAAATGCCCTGTGCAAAGAAAGAACGAATATAAACTTTTGGCAAGACTGTTGGATGTTTCCCAGTAGCTATGCTGCTCATCATTATTATAAAGCAAAAGAAAGTAGACTGAAAAAGTAAAGTTCCACCATTAACATCTTCCAACGTTAACATCCTTTGCAGTGCATACTGGATAGACACACAAAATATTTTAACCACCAGGCAGATGGGGGTTTCCAAGGTTAAAGTAGGAGCTAATGCAGAAACAATAATTGCAAAGAAGTGAAAATTACAGGATGTGTAGAAGGAACTCTTTTATCAGGAGACTTCTCAATACAACATCAATTCAATCAACATTATCAATATCACTCAAGATCACAAACCTGACTTTAAATCTAATAGAAATTAGTGAGATGTGGGTTAACGTTGGTAACTCCCATTAAAAATCTGAATTTTCAATATTGGAGAAGTCAGATAAAATTTCTTGCCTGGGCTGAATACATAAGGAGTTTCATCCAGATATATCCCAGGAGATATATCCCCTACTTGGACTGCTCCTCCCTACAGCCTATTCTGATTGAGCGAAATCTAGGTTAAAATCCAGGAAACAAAACTGTAGGAAAAAAAAAAACTACAACAGAAAAACTCTTCCATGAGACAGGAAAAGCAAGGAGACACTCTTCATAGTGAAGAGAATGAAGACAATATTGTTCTGCAAAAACAGGAAATTGCAGGGAATGAGTGATCTGAGCAGAAAAAGGACCTCAGGTTCTTTCAAGTCATGTAGCAGAAGCGTAAGACTTTGACAGTCAAGGATAACATGCTGAGTTTTGTCTCCTCAGTGTAAAGTAACAAAGGGAGGAATTACTTGCACTGTTGCTTGTGGTACTGTTATCTTCCTTTAATGTATATTTCTGCCACTTACAACCCTTTACAAATCCTTGAGTCCCAATTAACTGTCATCCAATGCATTATACCAATACAGCATACTGCAAAACTAGGCCATTAATAGCTTTTTAGATTGGTCAATACACTGAAAACTATTTTTTTTTAAAAAAGGAGACAGCTAGAGATCAGGTGCAAGAAATAACTTTTCTCATGAAACACACTGTTGCCATTTCAGTGGGCACTACTATCATGAAGAAACAGTCGATCATCAATCAGCCATTTACTACAAGGGCTCTCTGAGATTTTCAACAGAGAAAGTAAATTAAATAGTTTTCTTCTCCAAAAGTAAAGCAGAAGAAAAGAGAGGAGAGACAGGAGAGAGGGGAAAGAGAGGAAAGGGGAAAGAGAGAGAGAAAAGAGAGGAAAGACAAAAAAGAGGAAAAAGACAGAAGAAAAAAGAAAAAAAAATTGGTATTAAGTGATTATAAACTTGTAGAGACTTACTTGAGACAAAGCAGCATCCCGTTGTTCTATTACTGCATTCATTTCCTCAGCTATTATTTTCTTTTTACGTTCTTTGGTCCTGTGTATTCGATTCAGAATTATAGCTCCGTTCTTCAGTATATCTATCCCTGTGTCTGCATTGTTTATTCTGTTCAGTAATTCCTGTAATGTCTACCAACAGCATTATATGTTAGTCAGACATGAAGTTTTAATATATTTTATTTAATATAGGGTTTTAATTAATAGGCACATGTGAATTGTAAATTGACTGAGTGAAGTTATTGAATTTTCATATTGCAGCAAAGATGTACATTATTAGTGTGTCAATTCTTCTTTTTCCCACATCTTAGTTCTTGAAACCCACTCAATTGAACTTAAGCCTCTAAGATATAAGACTGACATCAAGAAATCTCCTCAGAGAATGGCTTACCATGTCATTTTCTTCAGGGTTAATATTTTCTAGCCTAGAAAAAAGGGACACAGAAAGCCTGATCAGTAGCATTTCCTTAGTGCAGCAAAATGAGTTCGCTTTTTAAATCTTTAGAACCTCAAGTAATTTCATTCTACTAGTCTTTAGAGTCAACCATGACACTGAACATATTAAAGTGCCACCTGCTCGACTCCATCTTTCAATAATGCTCCATATCTTCAGCACTGACTTCAGACTGTTAAGTTATTAATGTTTACTGCTATATATGACTACAAGGATCAATTGTTCATATGTGCTTAGATGAAGAAAGTTCCCCAGCGATAGAAATGACTGATGCTCTTATTTATTTCTGTGCTTACCTGACATTGTATTTTTGTTGTTTTTACTGCACCTCAAATGAAACAGGACAGGACTTTTGTGGGTAATTTTTTTAACATTTATTTTATTCTTTTTTCACCTCTGTCTTCCAAAATGAGGAAAAAAACCTAGCTGAAGTTTTCTTAAAAATATTTTGATTTTGTATCTTGCATAAAATAGCAAGCTAAGCCAATTCTCTGCAAGGCCCTTATTTAATTCTGGAACATCCCCCCCCCGCCCCCGCACTTTCCTGCCTTTCTATTTCAACAGAACATATATTGACCTGTCAAATACAAAGATGATATGAGGAATTTAGTCATACAGCACTGAACACTGACTGTGCAAAAGTAGTGAGAGATAGCACAAAAATCTAATAAATGGGATAGTATGCATTTTATTTTACCCAAGGTTAGTTATATGGACAGCATATGATTTACAACACTTATGTGTATTTTAAAACAGGAGAGACCTCTTTTCTGGGAAAATGAGCATATCAAAAGTTACCTTACCACTTAATTGCTACTTAACAGTGACTTCTACTAAAAGTAGATCTGTCACTAGCATATGATATTTTAAAAGACAGGTACAGTACCATCAAACATCTACTGAACAGCAACACACACTTTTTCAACAGTGCTGTGACAGGTGCTGTTCTGAAGCCAAGATTTTAGCTAGCAAACATCACAGAGCACTTGACAGCACACTAGCACCTTTTACATTAAAGCTTTAGTTTTACCAGGTAACAGTACATAAGGCATGGTAAATCAGTACAGAAATTAATTCTTTATATAAAAAAGAAATAACTCAGAATGTACTACCAGTGTACAACAGTTGGTATATTTATATGGAATTCACAAGCAGTAACTACTTCAACATACACAGTTAGCACCAGAACTAAACAAAACAAAGTAAAAGCTAATCTTTGCTGGGTTTGACTTGTATTCATAAAGTAACACAAATCATAAGATAACAAATATATTCTAACTCCAAATTCTCAGAACTGGCTCCTTGACTTGGCTCCTTGTAGAGTTCCTGCTGTAGGTTTTTACATTGCTCTAAGTGCCACTTCACGCAGGACTTAAAAATGGATCTCCAGCTAGTTTGTATTCACAAGGAAAGGAACGGTATTTGTCAAAGTAAATTGCCAGGACTGACCCAGCTTCTCCAGAGGACTTCTACCCTGCTAAAAGTGTGGGTCAACAAAATCACCCAGCCAACCAACAGGCTGGGTAAGCAAGACACCTTAGGGAGAATTAGGGGTGGGAAAAAGAACAGGAGCTTCTACCATAAGTGTAGTCCTTCAGCGTACTACTGCCATAAGGGATCTGTCTGTAGGTGTACATACACTTCCTTAGGTGACAGTATTTTTTAAAAAGCAGCATCCAGAGCTCTGTATTTGCCCTGCTGCCTCTCCTTGTGCTGTGCACAGGCAATAGGTGACCCTTAGATCTCTCATAATTTTAAACAGCAGTAAGCAAGGATTCCTCTTCCTCCCATTTCTACACACACTCTGCTAACGTGACCCCTAGGGCCAACAGGACTGGAAGAGTTTTAGTTGTTACAGTTGAATAATGGCAACAGAATTGCTCCAGCTGCTAATTTAAAGAAAGCATTAAAGCTTTTGATAAAGGTTGGCAGGCTTTTCAATATTGCCCTCTTGTAAAGATCTCTGATTGGAGTAAGTCCAGAGCAGATGGAACGAGTGGCCTGTGCTCTAAAACTTGATGACTGTGGCACAAGTAGTCAAATGTTCTTTAAAAAATCCCAAACCTCTATGTGCTCCATGGCTGAGATGGAGAACTTGACCTTTAGAACAACCAGCATCAAGAAGAAAATATTAAGGGTGGTAGTTGGAAAAGTTCCAAGATTCCAGCAGAAACTCCAAAATTAAATAAAATTAACCAAGTCTTTCATGGCTCATCCCATTATCTCTGCTCCTTCCAAAGGATTAGTGGCGAGGGGAACTCCACAGAAATTTCCATTCAGCCACAGTAATAAACTTCTTAGAATAAAGAGGTTGAGAAAAGTAATTTCCTCACAGCGTTGACTCTGCTGCTGAGAATACAATTTGACTCTTCTCAGTCACAGTCCTGGCTTGCTCCTCTCATTGCAAAATGCCAGACATCCAGGCAGATATAGAAATGCCTGTCTTGTCACCTCAGCTGAGATGTTACCACAGTTAGTAAAGATGCCCAATGTTCTGAAAAACCTGAGTGCTGGAGCCAGGCTGGTGTTCCAGTAGGAATCTTGGCTCCACTCAACCATTTCTTGTTTGCAAGGCATATGGTTGCATGAATAAGCATCCTGTCAGCTTAGAATAAGTGGACGAGAAGAAAAGCAGCTAAGTGTGATGGAGGCAATCCTGCTTTCCTGGTTCTGTAATGCCCAAAGATTTCAAAAACAGCAAAGAATTTTCTTCAAAAAAAAGAACAACCCCCCAAACCAATAATCACAACAGGAAATGTTTCCCTGTACGATACCACTGCTCTTTTTGGAAGAAATATCACATTATCTAGATGGTGCTGTCACATACAGGACTGATATAGGTCAGGGAGGAGCTGTGGTCAGCCTGACCTTGGTCAGGTTGGGCAAATGGATGCAGTCGCTGTGGGCTGAGGTAATACTGAATATAAAGTGGTGGAATGGAGCAAGACGTCTTTGAAGTTTCTTACATTGTCTGATATGGCTTAAGACATTCCTATCAAACTTGCAGTTTGGCTGAACGGATAGCAAGGTAAGGAAAGAGGCAGGTATTAAGACATTTGATGCAGTGAATATGATGATTACTTGAACATAAGGAATGAGTTTTTCTCCCTTTCAGAGGATTACATATGGCAATTAATGCCCAGTAATCCATTACCATTAGGTACTTGCTGCATGGATGATTAATAAACTTCAATAAATTTTACAGTGGGAACAAATGAAGCTTTTGGGCTCTCTAGCTTTTGTCAATTAGGATTTTCTTTTACTGATCTGATGACTGACACTAAAACTACCAATGAAAATAAAAGCATGTAGCATTTTTCAGAGCCCTTCAGCAACACCTCTGTGCCCTATGGGAGGCATGTCTGCTTGGGATCTGCCTAAGGATTTTGTTCATGTCCACGATGCAGTCAGTGACAGAACACACAGCATCCAGGATATGAAAGACTTGGGTATGACTCTTCCCAATGAGCTGCCATTGCCACAGTCAGTCACTGTAATGCAGAATGGGAGAATATTGGAACTATGATCTTACAGTATATACACGCAGCCTGGTAAGGACAATTCTTTTGAATTAAATTGGTTTTGTCCCCAAGTCTTGCATCTTGGTGTTGGCTGTCACGACAGCAAATATCACAGAGAAGCCTGACCTGCACCCCTGGAGAACATACAGGAAGAGACACTGGTTACAGACAATGGCTCACTGGTTTAGGCAAAGAGGAATGTATATCAGCTATTGAACCAACGATAGCTGGCTAGCCCATTGCAATTTTTACCTGTGCTGGGTTGGTGTTCTCCACAGGGAAATTTCCTATGCCAATTCTGAGACTGTGAATGGCATCAGGGTAACAGGCCTCTCTAACGCATCAGAAAGAGCACCCAGGTGGATGACAGCAACAACAATTGCTATTCTCTAAATGACAGCAATAAGGTATAATAGTTTGGCTCCAAGCTATCAACCAAGGGAGTTATTGATCCTCTCCTTGGAGCAAGTATCTTTTTTGTCATTACCAGTGTATCTAGTGACTTCTGCAATGACATTCTTTTGGGGAAGGTAGTATGCATGTTTTCCAAGAAATGGAATTTCTTTTTTCTCATCCTTCTGCTTAGAACTGAATTGGTCTTCCAGTACATGAGTGAGGCAGACAGAAGGGGCTGAAGCCAAAACAAGTGATGGTCTTCTGAGGGATTCATGTCTGTCAAGACCTGCCATATGTGCGTCTATGGATTCCACTGCAGAAAAAGCAGCAATATGCCTCCCACACACTTAATAACCTGTGATTTCCTTCAGAAACCCGAAAGTCATTGACTAGGTCTGTCGACCAGAATAATTAATTTGCTGCAGGACTCGAGTGCTTTAATCCCAAAGCTCTTTGATGTCACTGATGATCTTTGAGGTCTCTTCCAACCATAATGATTCTATGATTCTATGATCTTGAGTTTATTCTAACAGCTTATACACAGTTCCATTTGATGTTTGGGTCATACAAAACTTCTTGCTTTCTTTACTCTTGGAACATACAAAATTAGAAGAGTGACAGAAGAAATTGGAGAGACTGGAGTAAGGCTCACAGTTATGATGCCTCTGACGGGAATTTAAAGCATATTTGTAATTTTCTCAGAGCTTGTTGCTTAAAGCAAGATTTCAGATGCATGTACACCTATAACGGGCTCCGTAGACACATTTACTCTAACAAATTGTGTAATGATTCTTGGGAAATGGAATCTCCTAATCTTGCTGTTGAGTCATAATTACAGGCTGTGACAAACTCTAGCAACTTGTAAATTCCACAGAGTAATGGTGCACAAACTATGCAGATTACTGAAATTTATTTAGATAACATTCCATGGTTTTACCTGCAAAAACACCCAAAAGAAGATGACTGTTTTTCTGCAATAAGAAGGAAAGAATGTTCTTAGTAGAATCAATTATTTAAAACATAATTGCCTGCCATTTACTTAACTAACAACTGCACCTATTCAGTCTCCTACCACGAAAAACTTCTCTGCTTTGTATTTGTCTTGGCAGAAAAATAAGAGAAATTTCTCAGCCACTCCAGACTTTGGGGGGACTACCATAGACAGTAACCAAGATGATCACAACTCAGATGGTGAAGGAGATGGAGAAGCTGCCTATGTCCCAAAGCAAGAAAAGAACTATTCTTGGTCTTCCTCTCCTGACTTAACAGCTGTTTAACACGAGATTGCCTATTTCTGTTGTGTTAAAATGGCATACATAAAAGTCTATGAAGTATTAATAAGAAAAAAACCCATATATTTTTACTACATTACCCACATCATTTGTAGAAATTTTGCTGAAGGAAATGTCTACTAGACTTAAAGGCTTGATTGATTTCCTATACATTGTGACTTCTGACTGACATTCTGGTACTCCATGTCAGAAGATCCCTATAAAATGTCACATTCGTCTTATTTTTCCCTGAATAAATACATACTAAAGTTTTTGATTATATTTTCAATTTTTGTGATCAAAATTATTCACCTTGCTCTCAGTCTCCAGAGAAAAATACGGTCTTACAGGATTGCTAACAAATTAACCAATAGCACAGTAAGACTAGCACTAGCCAGGTATTTCATCATAGAGAAGTTTGTGCTAAGCTTTCCTATATAACCACTGTCAAGCAGTTTATGAACATCACAGACTGACACAGCAACCTTTTCTGCACAGGGCAGGAAATGTATACTTACTCTTTGAGGGACTCTTCTAAACGCTGGAGTCGTAGAAATGCTTCATCTCTCTCTTCATTGGCTAACCTAAGCCTTGCCATGACAGCCTCATCACGTTCCCGTTGAGCAGAATAAACTTCTTCCACCAGAGCTGCAAAAGTAACCAGTGTGTTTAACAAACAAGTTTGACAGGGAGAGATACTATTAGATGCACTTACATGGGCCTTTGCTGGCATCTCCTAAAATCAGCATTTCTCCACTGACCTCAGATTACTCTGGATAAGGTCTGTATTACTCTTCAGACACAACACTGAATTGCTGTTGATTGCTAAAATGAATACTTGAAGGAATGAAATAAAGTTATATGTTTTCAAATTCACCCCTGTGTAATCAAACAAGGCAAGGAAGTGATTTGCTTTGCATTCTGAATACTTGCTTAATGGAAAAGTAATTCTTAAAAGCTCAGAATTATATGAGACACTAGTAGGTTTCTTCTGGGACACAGAGTTAAAAGTAATGATCCATTAAAACTGCTTCTACCATCATACTGCTTCCTATCACGGTGTCACACTGATATTAAATATTAAAAATTCTAGTATTTTCATAGTCTGCCTCCAGTATCACAACAGTGGCACAGCTGGCATGTCTCCTTCTCTGCCAAGCCTTTACTTTATTGTGTAATATACTGTTGTATTATCTGTTATGGCATACATGGACCTTGGAGCATTAGGTGCCAATAAACCAAGATTTACTGTCTATCCTTGGGAGCAAACTAACACCTTCACGTCATTCCTCATCCCGAGCTTACGGTTTCTCCCTGTCTCTCCCCTGTCAATATGTCTAACACCATCTCTGGCATACCGCCAGAGCTCTTACCTCGACCCTGCCTCCACTAAAATCTTTATTCATACTTTCATCATTTCCCTCTGCAATACCGCAAATCTCTCCTCGCAGTCATCATAAAAAACCCTGCAGTCGAGATGTCTAGGGACTTTCAGGATGCCATAGTAAGACTGCTGTCACTCCAAAAGAGGACTATATCCTCTCTGATTGTCACAGGCACCTCCAAAAAACTCAGCTGAGCTCTGTAGGTTCCAGAATTCTCCACGCTCCCCTTCTAGTCTGCCAAGCTGGTGTTTAGCCACAGTCTCCTAACACCACATTACAGTGTCTTTCAAATTTTGGCATTTCTCAAGAACCTTCTGGATTAAGCCATTGCTGCTGGGCTTCCTTACCCTCTTCAGAACTCTGCTCCTCTCTGAACCACCGCTTAAGTCATTAAGTTAAGATCTTAAAGAAAGGCCTCCTCCCGCTTCACTTTAGCCTAGAGCTTTTATCCCTCCATTCTTACTTCAACTGATACCAACTTTGTTGCCTTTATATGTTAGTTTACTCTTACTTCACCTTTGTACATTATTGTACAAAAACTTCATAGTGTGATATAACATAAACCACTTTATGGTTCTTCACAGAATGGAACAACAGGAACACAGTAATACATTTTGTAGGCAGCTATATTGCTGGCACAAAATACACTTTATCAGTACCGAAAACAACCCAAAATTCCCCAACCAACTGAAATACAAAGTGGTAAGTTTCCGTCCAGTTCTCAAGCAGCTCAGATAACCAGGGGTGAAAGACGAGCAAGAAGACGAACAGGAAAAGAGTCCAGAGAAGTGAATTAGGAAGATGTTCAAGGTAGGAAAGCAATCCTCTTGTCCTCAAGCTGGTGAGAAGAGTGCTACTGAGGGGTAAGGAAGCAATTTTTGCAGGTCTAGAAAAAAGGTTGCACGATAAAAGCAGACCGGACAAAAGAAAACAGGGAAAGGGTCAATGTTACTTCTGGAAGCGCAGTCCCTCCTTTCACAAAAACCTGCAGAGGAGCTGCAAGCCTAGTCATCAGGCCAGAACTGCAACAAGTTGTATCGCAACAAAGAAAAAAAAAAAAAAAAAGAAGAAATTTAGTATCAGAAGCACAAATTTTGAAGTGTCACAAAATTTAACAAACACTGATTTAATTCTCTTCTATTTGAGTATTTACTTGTTCCACAATAATTGATCTCCAAGAAAAAGGACACTATTCCCTCTCTTTGCAACAAGAAACCTTTGCTTGATATGGAATAGAAAAATTAAGGCATGAGTAAAGCGGCTGCAAAGATGCATGCATGCAAATTCGTAGTCAGGAATAAGTTTGCAGCACTTGCAGAGGATGAGTCTGATACCTGCAAAGGCAGGTGGCTCAGCAAGAACAAGAACAAATTGTATGAGGTGGGCTGTGCATTTCAGCTCACCTGACTTCCACTTAGGTTGCTGAGATCTGTGATGGCAGGGAAACTAGTGCCTCAGCATTGACTGCCTGGGGAAACTACAATACAACTGCTATGTCCTGGTTGGATCTGGAATACACAAGCAGTTTAATTCTGTATGGTAATGATTATCTATCTGTACCCTAATATATTTGTTTACTATAGTCTTTCCAGTAAATTGTCAGTTTATCTAGCATCATGCCAGAGACACTGCACAGAGAACTCTTTCCATAAAGCTGCAAGTGGAAAGAGTATGCATTTTTCACAATGAAAAGAATTGCTGGAATGAATAGAAAGCTGTCTAAAATAACTGAAGATTTGGCACTTATTCCGGGGTTAATTAATTTCCAGATTAGTTAACTTCTTTCCGGTCTCTTTGAGTGCAGCCCTTCTTCTGTCAGACCTTATAACATCCCCATGTCAGCATGGAAAACCACAATTTGCTGACTGCTATAATGGATCTTGAGCATACAAGTACACTTAGAGGATCTGTGTTCTGGCATATCTAATTCCCTCTCTGCGTAACTATAATCAGTGGTAATAATGACTATACAGGCTTTTTAAAACCAGATTATTGCTTATTTGTCCTTAAACCAAAGTAATGTATATGTAACAGTATGAAAACATGCAGAAAAAGAGATTTTTTAAAGTTACTTAAACATCCTGTTTATCTCAATGCTTACCATCCCTGATGACAGCCCAGAGACTAATTGCCTTGAACAGTGAATGAACCCTTCCCCCACCCAAAAGTCCATTACAAAATACCGTCTTCTAACCATTGGCTATGGAAAAGTGATTTAACTTGAGCAACTCCTTCTTATTATTTTCTTATCCTTCCACTAAATTAAGGCATTGGAGTAAATATCCCAATGACCAAATCCACCAACTACACTAAAAAAAAAAATATAGTAGTGCCATATCAATCATAAGTGTTTGGCTTTTGCTTCTATGTCTTAAAAGTAATATTGCAAGATAATTTTTTCATATTAAAACAGATTAGGAAGACTGCAGAAAATCACGTAAGATGCCTGCATGGTAATCTAAGTTTAAAAAAAGAAAAAAAAAAAAGATACTTAGCTATTTGGTATTTTAATACCATGTAGCAATACTGACACTGACCACACAAAATTACTAATTTAAAAAAATATTTAAAGTCCTCATCTAACTCATTTTAATGGTCTACAGAAGACTAACTCACCTTATTCCTTTACCAGTCAAAGCTTCTGCTGAATTTAGGTTAGACTTTTCTGTTATCCAATGCCTATGCATTTCTGACTATTTAATATTTTACAGATTCCTTTTTTTAATACTATATGAGTATTAAAACAATTACACAACTGCAGCTAGTCCGATGCAGGATGTTGTTAACAGTAACGTTCACCATTCATATTGAGCTATGGGTGACTCACAAGTAAAGGTTCAGGATCATAAGAATCACAGGATTCTTCAAATAAGCCACTGCAATACATACACCTTTGGGTTGCAACACAGCAGCAAATCAAAACATTTTGTGTTATATTTAGGAAAGTACTTGAAGCATAAGTTGTCCAGTGAAAAGTCTATGACAGAAAGTGATCTAAAAATTCTCCATATAAATAAAAGAAAGAATATCCAGATTATCATCCCTATGCTTCTTCAAAATGCCAGGCAAAAATTAATTGAGAGTAACAAGTCAGGCTCCTAAGTCCCATTGAAGATATGGCATATCCAGCAAAATACTAGCCCCATGCTGGCACACTGACTTGATGCCTGAACCAATGAAAAAGTGATCCAGCTACTTAGTCACCAACTGCTCTGGTCAACACTACGAGGTTTTTCTTGGAGACCTTCCAATGGTGCACCAACCAACCCTATCCTGTTTGTCTTGAGGCCTGACCAACAAGAAACACAAATTCTTATAGAACTCATGTTTCAAGCAAGAAAATGACACACAAAAATGAAGTATGAATATTCAAGTATTAAGCTAAAATGAATGGTGTAATTTAATAATTCATATACATATAATGACATTCAAGAGTTAAAATATTTAAATCCTGTAGTGCTAATTAAGAAAAAACGATTATTTTCCAATGATTGCAAACATTGTAATATATATAAATATGACATTACTATTTAGTTGCATAAACTTTATTTGCTTTGGAATGATTTAATAACATCTTTCTCCTTGTAACTAAAACCCTTGCATACTCTAAAAGAGCTCTTTATTTTAAAAGAATCATTACGCTCAACTCATCAATTCTAAAACATTTTTAGTTTTTAGTAAAGAAAACAATTGTAAACAGAGAGTTTTTGTAAGGTAGATAGCTATTACAAAGTTCACTTTGAAAATCAATATAGCATTTTAGCTGGAATTTGCTCATTAAACACCCACAGCTCTAATGCAAATTATGATGGAATGAATAAAGCAAATACATATGCTTCTTTCTTTTTATTAAATGTAAAATCTACTGTTAATTGCATCTGGTATGTCATATAAACTTTTCTCCTTAACTATTAAATGGAAGCTTTTACAAAAGTCATTAGAGATTCTCTTTCTTTGACTTGTATAAATTTCAATATTTGTTCAGTAAAGGTTCACAGCAGTTAAATTACATTAACAAATATTATTAGCTACTATGTAAGCCAACTAAGTAAAATACTTATATTGCAGGTAAAACAAATCAATGGGTGTTTACAATAATATTTGGATATGTCCATTTTTAAACAAGCTTATCAAATATCATGTAATTCTTAGTCAAATGAGAGAGACTCAAAGTAGATTTTTTTTCTTCCCAAATACTCAAATTTGTTTAGTAAGCTAATTGTTTTCTAATATGGGCAAAAGTAAATATGAAGAAGATGAACC